TCTACACTACATCAGAAAGCTTTTAGTGAAAATTTGAAGTCTCTAGCTATTGTAATTGCTGAGATCTCAGTCGGACAGCCAGCCAGCCATAACGAATATAATAGCGTATTTTTTCCAAAAATGCGCTAAGAATCTCTATCAGTAAAAGCGTTGATCTTGCGCAGTATGTGCATGTGCCCGTTTAATTTTATTACAAGCGATATTTTTGAAGCGTCTCGCGTCTGTAGTTAAAATGTCAAAAATACTACATTGCTTATCAGGAACTCGACGAGGCACTTGGTACGGAAATTCAAACGTTTCGGGGAATCTCACTCGTCCGCGGTGAGTACTGGATTATTTAAAAATATTAGTTTGTGGTTCTATATTGTTGTGTAAACTACGTAGAAATTACGCGTCTCATGTGGCGAAGTGGGGACGTTTGGAGCGTTCCGTCGTGGCTGGCGTTTATCTAATGTAATTGTGATTGGCGATTTATTTGAAAATTTAAGAAGATGGGGTTTGCTATATGGTGGAATTGGTGTTTCTTTAAATACTGGAGACGTGAATACGGGGCTTTTATTACTATTTCTTGCGACGGTTTGAGAGCGTTTCCAGGTTTTGCGGAATACATTTTTGTCTTTATCATTTAAACGGTGTGTTTAATCGAACCCAAAGTGCGGCCCAGATAGAGTTTTCATGTCAAAATATGATCAGCATAATGGAACATTTGATCCCGGGTTCGAGCATGGATATTTGTAAACTTAAATAAACAAAAAAATTAAATTTTAAAAACTGTGAAAAAATACCTTCAAAATGATGTATCACATGACCCCCTACCCACTAAAAAATTGAAAATAGCGCAGAGTCGCCATCTTGCAACTTTAAACTGTCAATTTTATGTCAAGAATTAGTATTTTACAACTTACTTCCCCCCACCCCGATATCTGAAGCCGTTTCCAATTTTGAAGGGATTAATATCCAATGCATCACGAGAATCCTGGGATTAGGAATCAGGAAATTGAAGACATATATACAAAACGTAAGAATCTCCTACCATAGGACTTCTCCCTTTTTAGAGAAACGTCGATGAAGGGAGTGTGCTGTGCTGTAATGTGAATCGAGTCTTTCTCAGAACTGTCACCCATAACGTTTTTAGCGCATTTCCACAAAAATAAAAAAAA